GTGCATTTTCCTGCTGCCAGGAATAGCAATCCCTGCCCCTCTGGAATGCACACCCTTCTTGTCAAGCCAGCCTGACAGCTCCAAGAGGAGTAAAAGCTGAACCATTTCCACAGCTGCCTCACTGACCTGCATCCCACATCCACCTCAGCATCTCTTACAGACACAGAATCAGCATTCAAAGAAATAATTGTGTATATATATATATATGTGTGCATGTATAGAACCTTTTAGCACTCTTGACCAAATAAGAACACAAAAGCTGAAGCATCCTGGGTGCAAAAACTAGACAATACATAAAAAAGGCCGGATGTGTTTTCCAGCACTGGCCACCACTGCTCTGCTCACCAAGGACCAGGGTGCAGAGACCCCATAACCACCCCGACCTCCCTCATCCCCCCTCAAGGTGCTCTACACACCCCACGTACCCCACAGAAGCCCCACATGCCCCTCTCTTAGCACACCACAGACCCTCTCAGACCCCCTCCTAGCCCCCCCACGGTGCCCCATATACCCCTACAGACTTCCTAAACCTCCCACTAATACTCCAGCCACCCCGCAGCCCCCGGATGCTCTCATAGATCCCAAGGATCCATCCCCACGCTCCGCCACCACAGCCCATCTTATCCCTTTTATCCCACCCCGGCGCTCCCTGCCCTGCCGGCCCCGCCCCGGAACGCGGCGCGCGGCCGCCGTTTCCGCGGGGACGCCTGGCCGGGACGCACCGCGGGGGCCAACATGGCGGCGCACACGCTGCGGGCCCTGTGCCGGCCGCGGCCGGGGCTGGCGCTTCTGTCCGCCCGGTGCTCGCTGTGGGCCGGCATCGGCACGGAGTACCGGAGCTCGCACAGCCTGGACAAGCTGTACCCGCCGCAGCAGGACAAAACCGCCGCCCGCGCCCCGGTAAGCGGAGCGGTGGGGGGAAGAAAAGGGAGGGCGAGGGGCGGTGCGTGGGGCGGAGTCGAATCTGCGATTGACATTGGGCGGGCGGGGCTCAATTGAGTGTTGTGTTGGTGGGCGGGGTCGCCCTAAGGGGCGGGGCTAATGGGGCGGGCGGGGCTTTAGCACGAGGGTGGGCGGGGACACCACGAGGGGGGCGGGGCTTAGCGTGGGTATGTGTAATTTGGGTGGGCGTGGTTTAGGCGAAGGGGTGGGGTTTAGTGCGCGTATCTGTATATGGCATGTGGGCGGGGCGGGGCTTGGTAGAAGGGGCGTGGTCTCTGTGGGTGGGCGGAGCCAGGCGGTGTCGAGCCGGGACCGCGCCCCCGGGACGGGCGGGACCCCCCGAATCCCCCGGGATCCCCCCGACACCGCCCCCGCCGTGTTTTGCAGGAGCAGCCGCCCATCCTCGACATCCCCATGGGTGAGTCTCCCCCCGCCGCACCCGGGCCTGGGCGCCGTTCCTGGGCACCGAGTCCGTGCGCGGAGCTGAACGCGGGATCGGCCCCATCCCGGCTCAGCACGCGGCTGCCCTTCCCTTCCAGCTCGCCTGACCGTGTCCTACAGCCGGAGCAGCGGCCCCGGTGGGCAGAACGTTAATAAAGGTGAGGAATGGCTTCTCCCACGTGGAGAAATCAGCAGCAGCATCCATTGTTTTTCTGTACTGTGTGGCAAAATATTGAGAACTCGGAGTTAAACAGCATCATCACTCATTTTTCATTATCATCACCCTGCATTTTAACACAACTTCTGAGCCTTCATGGGGCTCGAGACCACTGGCAGCACATTTGATTCCCCTAGAGACACTCTTACAGGGATTGTTCCTGCAACATGGAACACCCCCACCTCTATCCACTCTGTTTTCATTGATCACTCCACTGTGCAATAAATTCTCAGTTTAACTCAAAAAAACTAAAATACTGCCTGTTCTGCCATTGCCATTAAAAATAAGGTGGCTAGTGAGTGGCAATAGCAATTAATCCTGTGGTGTCTAGAAAGGCAAACAGCATGACAGGTACAAGTTTGTCTTGCAGAGTGGTGTGTAAATATATAGCAAGAAAAAAACTGATCTTTCATCAATAAATACTGGAATAATAATTAATTCATTAATATTACCAGAATTATCCCATGCTCAAAGCCAGCAGTGAACAGTGTGAATTGTCTCATAAAACTTACGGAGGCAGGCTGTGACATGGAAATAAAGAACCTGTTTTTCCTCCCAGTGAATTCCAAGGCAGAAGTTCGGTTCCACCTGGAGTCGGCAGACTGGATTCCTGAGGCTGTGAGACAAAAAATGGCAGTGATGGTACCGACCCTCCCCCTCCGGCCTCGGTTTAAATGTCTCAGTGTCAGAGAGAACAATCCTAAGGAGGTTTCAGTGATCACATGACATTTCCCCCCCTTCAGCACAGGAATAAGATAAACCGGGATGGGGAGCTGATTGTGACCTCAGAAGAGAGTCGCTACCAAATGAGGAATCTGGCGATTTGTTTGGAAAAAATCCGAACCATGGTCACGGAGGCCACAGAGAAACCCAAGGTGGTGTCCAAGGAGACAACACAGAAACTCATAGAGAGGTATCTTCATTAAAATGGTCTTTGCTTGGATTCAGGCTGTCATGTTACATGATTTAGTTTGCAGCACCTCTAAACAATCCTTTTCATACTCATTTGGATTTCCTTTCTTAAGAAAAATCACTGATCCATTAGATTTTAACTGCTTTCCAGGGTAACGTCCCCAGAACAGGGACTTTTTCCTACCTGTGGATGTTTGTTGGCTCATCAAATCTCAGAGTTGAATATTTAAATGTGTTCTTTGTACACTAAATGATCTTTTTGCTTTAGAGTGGAAAAAATGAACCGTGAGCGACTGCGACAGAAAAGGATACACTCAAACATAAAACAGAGCAGGAAGGCGGATTTTGACTGAGAACAGCAGAGATCCAAGTCCTTGGCATTCCATCTTCCTAAATAAGTGGCACTGGCAGCTGTAGATGATGCTAAACTCATGAGCTATATTGAATAAAAATGGTCTAAAAGTGTAAATAAAAATATTTAACATCTTTTTAGCCCAGCGATACAGCTGGACATCCTGTCAATCATTTTTCAGAAAAATTATTGTTCACATTTGAGAGGAACTAAGAATTCTGATTTTTGTCAGCTACTTTTTTTTTTTTTTCAAGTTCTTTGTGTCCTCCATGCAGCCTGTGCTCTATCAGAGCACCCTCTGCTGCTGAACACAAAGCCAGCAGTAGATTTTTAGGGAAAGAAGGGAAGAGTTAAAAGCAGTCTTAACTATGTATCTAAGTAGCATATAAAAGCATAGAATCATAAATCATTAAGGTTGGGAAAGACCTCTAGGATCATCGAGTCCAACTCTTAGAGTATTCACTGTTTCTTTTCTTGATTTTTATCTAACAAAAAGAAGTGCATATGTCATTTTGTTAAGCTCAAACCACGGCAGGAATTTGGCACAAATCTCAGCACTAGAAGACAGAACCTGCCTTGTGAGTGCAGGAGGCTTCTGGCCTTCGAGTTGGGACTCCAAAAACCTCCAGATGAGTCTTTGGATGAGCCTTTCAGAATTCAAGAGTTGCTCATTAATGGACGCTGTTTAACAAGAATGAAGCTGGGGTGTGATGTGGGTTTCACCCAGAGGGGTTCGCTTGGGGGGCTTGAAGAGACCAAAATTACCCTTTTTTTGAAGGGTGACAGGGCCCCAGTGGCCTAATGGATAAGGCACTGGCCTTCTAAGTCAGGGATTGTGGGTTCAAGTCCCACCTGGGGTGAGGAGAGGTGGCTCTGTTTTAGGAAAGCCCCAAATAAAAGAGGAATGTGCTCACTGTTGATCCCTGGGAGGTGTCAGGGCTCTGCTACAGTCCATGCCCATCCCCCTTGGAAGGGGGGGACCTTGAGCTCTCCCCTGACACAGCATTTACATCTGCAAAAAGAGGAGAGCTCATACACCCCAGATCCTCTCCAAAATGGGGTGCCAGGGGGATGCAGGATCACGCCAATGTATCCTGACATCCTTCCCAGGAAACGCAACCCCAGGCTGGCTCTACTTCTCCACACCCTGCCCAGCACCAAGAGCAGATACCATGTTTTCTCCCATCTAAAGCTTTTTTACATGGAATCACTCGGGTTGGAAAACACCCCTAAGATTATCAAGTCCAGATGTATTCCTGGCAACAAAAGCCATTACGCCAGCACCAAGTGGCAGCTCAGCAGCAGCCTCAGCTGAGCCCTCCCCTCACCAGGAGACCTCCCTGCCAGGATCACCCACTGCTCAGGTCTCTTCTTCTCAAGATCGTAGCTTAAGATTTGCAGAATTACAGTTAAAGCAAAAGCTTAAAGCCCTGGAGACCAGCACGTGACACCGGGGCACGGAGGGGCTGGGAATTTCAGGGATTAAAAGCGTATTGCCGGGAAAAAACGTCTCCTCTGTGCCGGGATGCCTGAGACGGAGCAAGGGGAGCCACAGGGGGCTCAGCCCATCAGGGATCCCCCCAGCACCAAACCCACCACGCCGGGAAACCCCGGGGGGAAGGAAAAGAGTGACCACCCCAGATGGGACTCGAACCCACAATCCCTGGCTTAGGAGGCCAGTGCCTTATCCATTAGGCCACTGGGGCGCGCACGATCCGAATTTGGCGTCCTCACTTAACTCTCTGATGGCCAGAGGGGAGCGCGGACACTCCGAATGAAGACGGGGGGTCCCGCACAGTATTCCCAGGGCTCCCCGCTCTGAACGGCCCTCGGAGCAAAGCCCCCCCCGCCAGGCCCCGCAGCCCCCTCCCCGCTCCATCTCCCCCTCGAACCGCCCAGAAACACCAACGCGGGGGGGGGAGGGTGCGGGGGAGGGATGGAGACCCCCGCGCAGCCCCGCGACGCCCGCCCGGCCTCACCCCGCGCCGGAGGGGCCGCTGCCCGACGCCGGTTTTCAGCGCAATAAAGCCCCGAACCCTCCCAGAATTCCCCCCGGGAACGGGGCGTTCCCGAGGCCGTTCCCGTTCCCTCCGGGCCCCGCGGGGAGCGCGGCTGTGCCGCGGCCTCGGTGGCCGAATGGAGAAGGCGCTGGACTCCGAACGGAGGGGCCACCGGTTCGACCTCTGCCCGCGGTGTGACAGCAGCGGCTGCCCCAGCGCAGCAGCGCCTCGCACACAGGGGGGTGTGGGGACATCCCACCAATGCCATTAACAGACAGGGGCAGCTCTACCCCTCCCCTCCCGCAACTCACCGAATCTGCAGTACGGAAAAGCCCGAAACTGCGCCACCCTCTCATTTTCCCAGGAACCGCCCCAGCTGAGTCTCAGAGACCCCCGCCCGGCAGCAGTTCCGGGTGCTGCCTCGCCTTTGGGCAGGAATGGCTCCGGACAGGGATTTGCGAGGCAGATTCTCTCCCTAATTCTGCCCCTGCATGGGTACGTTCCCTCCCCTTTGCCCCGCTGATCCCTCTCACCCCTCTGGGAGCCACCGCCGGGGGAAATTAAACGCCTGAAATGCCTCTCGTGGTTTTAAAACAACCACGAAGGGACTCGAACCCTCAATCTTCTGATCCGAAGTCAGACGCCTTATCCATTAGGCCACGTGGTCCCCCGTAGAGGTGCTCCAGGGCAGTGTCACACACCGGGGGGTCCCGGGTGCCCCTGTGTGTCACCTGCACCCACCCCTGTGTCACCTGCACCCACCCCTGTGT